GTACTGTGGAACGTCATTCTGTCCGACAATTGGCTTCTGTCCTCCTTGTTTCCTTCTGTCTGTTAAGAGACTTTGTGGTCAGAGAGTCGTGGTTTGGGTTGAAAATACCATGAGATGTCTGTGATCAGGGTAGGGCTCCGGTGACAGGCCTGGAATTGCATGTTTCCCAGCATTGATGGAAGTGAGTTTTTAGCGATGATAAAGCATGCTCTTAGTTTTCTCTTAGAGAAGGAATCAGTCCGCAGTCGTGGGGGTGGGGGCACCTGGAGGCAGAGGCCGCGGCCAGTCCCTGGCACCCGCCCCACACTGCTGCCTGCACTTCCCTGCAGGTCTGAGTTTGCAGATGCCATCCTCTCGGTGCACCCTTCCGACGTGCTGGACATGCCTGTGGATCCCAATGAGCCCACCTACTGCCTGTGTCACCAGGTGTCCTATGGGGAGATGATTGGCTGTGATAACCCTGATGTGAGTGCTGGGTCCCAGGTGGGCGGGTCTCCCCACCAGGACATGGCGGGGCACAGGACTCCTGACCGCGCCCGGCCCCAGGGCTGTCGGGGCGCAGGAGTCCTGATAGTGCCCGGCCCCAGGGCTGTCGGGTGCCCGTGGAACGCGAAGCTAACCACCCTCCCTGCGCCTTGATCCGCAGTGCCCCATCGAGTGGTTCCACTTCGCGTGTGTGGACCTCACTACGAAGCCGAAAGGAAAATGGTCAGTCTGGGCACTTGGTGCCCCCTCCTCCCGCCTGCTGAGGGCTGCACCGCACGGCACCCACTGCCGCAGAGACGGGGCGTGGCGTCTGGCGCTCTGCATGGCAGTCGGCGTTGCACTCGGTGTCCAGGGCTCGCCTTGTCCAGTGGGCGGTGCTCACGGCCTTCTGCACGGCCTCTTTGTGTCGGTGCTTTCGTTCTCGGCTCTCCACTGGCACTTGGCGGGGCTGGGGGACACGGGGCGGGCTGGGGGACAGGGCGGGCTGGCGGTGCTGGGGGACAGGGCGGGCTGGCGGAGCTGGGGGACGCGGGGCGGGCTGAGGGACCGGGCAGGTTGGGGGACATGGGATGCGGGGTAGGTTGGGGTATGGGGCGGGTCAGCAGTCTGGGGGACACAGGGCACGGGACAAGTTGGGACATGGGGCAGGCTAGTGGTCCTGGGGACTTGGGGTGCTGGGCAGGCTGGTGGTGCTGGTGGCAGGGCAGAGGCTGAGTGCTGTACCTTTCCCGTCGCAGGTTCTGTCCACGGTGTGTTCAGGAAAAGAGAAAGAAGAAGTAGGGAGAGGCCATGTGCCGTGGGTCAGAAGAGCGAGCTAATGTTCTTCTCCGTTCGTGTTACAGTATTTTACGTTCATCTGAAAGCTACCTTGTTTTGACTGATGTTTAATAACTCAGTGGCCAGTTGTCATTCTCGGTGTTTCAGAGCAAACAGGGAACCAGCCGAAACCCATTTGCACGGAGGAGTGCCCCTCTGGGAACACGCCACCGTGACTTTACTTTGCTGACTTTTTATGCAGACCTCACCCTGCCCGAGCACGCACGCAGTCACTGCGGCGGCGTGGACGGCAAGGTCATCACCTGGTACACTGCCACTACCCTGCGATCATAGGTGTGAACCTCTGTGGGTCTGTGTGGGGCTTGTAGACCTGACTGGTGCAGCACGGGGTCCCATCTCCCCCTTGCCGTGAGGTGTGTGTGGGCACGGGTCTGCAGCTTGGCCCTTGACGCAGTGACTGCAGGCCCTTGGCCAGGTTGTGCTTACCGAAGGAGGAACCCTGCTTTTGCATGCACGGCCCCTCGTGTGAGCATCCACTCCCCACCTGGAGTGAGGGATGTCAGTCACCCTGGCTGTCACTGGGGCCGTGTCTCAGGCCTGCTGACTCCATGTCTCTGGGAACCCTGGTGTTTTTACTGTGAAGGGAAGTGAGTGTGTTCGCATGAAGACAGTTGCCCTGGTGTGTGTGGGAGCCCACCACCGTGGCCTGGTGTTAGCCGTCTGTATGCTCCTTGCTGGAGCAGAAGCTTTCACCCAGGGGACTCCGATTACGTCGCCCATGAGTTTTGGTGATGTGACAGCAGTTCTGGAGCAGCTCTCACCAGACCGATTCCCACTGTCTTTCTGGGGAAGGCTGGGGAACACCATGTCCATCTGGCCTGTGGGAGTGTGTGTGACGAAGCGTGGAGATGGGGTGCAGAGGGCAGTGGTGAGAGCGTGCTGCACCGCCGGCAAGCCCTCCAGCATGCATTTCAAGAAAGGAGAGGGCTCCTGTCCTCATCCTGGAAAAGAGACCTGTGTGGTGGGATTGAGATGTGAAATTCCCACTTTAAGAAGAACCAATGATTTTTTGTGGAAAGAACAGTAGGGCTGTAGCCTTCTGCTGACCCCATTGACTCTGTGTTCTGATGTTTTGCCAACGAGAGGAAATAAGGGCGGAGCTCGTGGGGCTACTATATCCAGGCGAGCACCTCCAAGGGGTGAGGGGCTGTATCTGGTGAGCACCCTCCTCAGGGTGAGCCGGTGCTTGGTAAGGGACTTCTGTCTGGGTGGGCATCTCCACGGGGTGAGAGACTGTGTCCAGTGAACACCCTCTGTGGGGTGAGGGGCTATGTCCAGGTTGCCGCCTTGGGTCTGGGCAGTTCAGGGTGGTGCTCAGGGCAAGCCGGTGCTCGGTGGGTGGAAACAAGGTGCCCAGGAACCACCGTCATGTGGACAACAACGTAAAAAGGCATCTAGTCTGTGGTCCTCATCCAGGCTTCTCACCAGTTCACACAGGTTCAGGCATGGCTGACAAGGCGAAACTGAAACAGACCCGAATTTTTACGGTTGGAGTGATCTGGAACAGTAACTGGAATGGGAAAAACTACGGGTCGAAGCCCTGGAGTGGGAAACTCAGAAGAGGCGTAGTGAGCCCTTTCAGGGGCCTGATGCATGAGATTGGATTATTGGCAGGACTGTGGAGAGCAACACACATTCAAAGCAGCATGGTCAGCTGCCATCTTTGAGCAGGGCACTGGTGTTTGCAACTCTGTTCAAAATTCGAAGGGCGAGAGAGATGGTTGCTATGCAACACGGATGCTGCCTTTGTTTTCTAGGAGGGAGATTAAGTTTCTAGCAGGGCTTCGACCCGTAATTTTTCCCATTCTGGTTATTGTACCAGTTCACCCAAATTTTAAAAATTTGGGTTTGTTCCAGTGTCACTTTCTTGGCCATGACTGAACTGGGAAGAACTGCCCTGAAGCACTGTCCTCAGCAGGTGCTGGACCATAGACCTCTTTGGACGCCTGTCCTCCGAGAGAAACGAGGAGAGCAGGGCTTGCACTCGAGTGACTGGCAGGTGCAGGCCAGCTCCAGGTTCCGGCAGGTTCCGGGTGGTCAGTGGCTGCTGCAGCTTATCCTGTGGGTACCCCTGCCTGAAGGAGCTCCCTGAGAACTGGCTCCTTCTGACCACTCAGTCCAGTCCACGTCCACAGAACTGGAGATACTTGTCACTTATTAATGAACCTTCCGTTAACAGAGGTGTTCGAAGGCTGGGGGATAAACTGTGGGGACGTGTGTTTTCCTTCACCCTTGAACCAGTTTGTGGAGAGGGATCGGTAAGTACAATAGGTTTTTAATAAGAATGCCTGATGATTCTTTAGAGGATAATTTATTATTTGTGCTTTGTCTTTGAGCAGATTACACCCAATGTTATCACTGGAAAAAGCTTTGTGGATGTGGGTTTCTGATGAATGGTCATGCTTGATTGTCATTGTGATTCTCGAGGTTCCGCAAGCAGATGACGGCTGCTGTGTCTCGGTTTCTTGTGTAAATATGACGGCGGCATCCGCTTTCCCCGTGTAGCGGCTCACATGTTGACTTTTTTATGGTTCTGTGGTTACCTGTTTCTGGGGTTTACTTCTGCCAGTTAAAATAGTGTCTCCAAAACAGTATACACCTAGCTTTGGAAAAAAACAAAAAACCCGAGCAGAGTAGGAAAATTCCCGAGAACGTTCTTAGAACATGACTGCATGCTTTTCTGAGTGTTAACACTGTTGGAGGGTGAGTGGGAAGATGCTCCGGAGATGCTGTGGCTGGGAGGGCGGCCTGCAGAATGAGCCCGGCTCCCGCCAGGATGCGAGGCGGCCGCGCTGTCAGCAGTATCCAGGGACCGCCCCGGGGCCTGGCTGCCTCGGGTCTGGGCAGTTCAGAGCCCCCTCGTGCCTGCCCAGTGCCTGAGCCGGGAGCTCGCCGGAGCCAGAGGGACGTCTGGGCTGGACCCAGGGAGACTCGCAGCGCTGTCTGAGCCATGAGCGCTGGAGCCTCATGTCCGCGGGGGTCGCCTGTAAGGGAGGGAATGTTTGTTCAGAACATGACCGCGCTCCTCATTCTCAGTGCTGCGGGTCAGAGCCAGCAATCTGAAACAACCTGCTCCTGTAGGAGAAAACGCGCTGCATTTTAGAGTGTGACGCAGCGCCCGAGTCTGTGCCTGCAGGTCTGCGCCCCAGTCCGGGCCATCTTGGGTGGCATCGCCAGCTGAACATGGACACTGACAGGCCTGTGTCCGACCATCCCCCACAGCAGGCTGGGTGGGGGCAGGAGGGTTGGGGACTGGCAATGGCTGAGCAGCTGCTTCATGGCCTGGTCACGGGGAGGCTTTCTGGGTGGGTGGGGATGATGACAACCTTACACACCTCCCCCAAGAAGGCCACACGGCCCTCTGGCCCCCTCTTGCCCTTGTCAAGGCCCCTTCAGCAATAACCATCTGCACAGCAGCCTCTGCAGGCACAGAGCCAGGAGCCCGCAGGGCTGGAGGTGATAGGATGGGGAAGTTTCGGGGGGCAGGCCTGCAGTTGCTGGGGCGGGGGTGTTGTGGGCACTGAAGAGTGGACATTTTCCTGAGTTTGGTGCAGTGTTAGTTGTCATGACCTGCCCTGAGAGGAGCTTTTGGGGGGTGGGGGGCAAGAAAAGCGTTCCCACTCGAGCGAGTTCTCTTCCCTCACGTGTGTCTTGTGGTGTCAGCTTTACACATTTCATCCAAAAAGATGATGCAGCTTTAACATGAATGTCGTATTTTATTTTCAAGGAATTATCTATGTTCCCTTTGTAAATGAAAGAGAATATTGTAAATCTTTTTATTAAATAATGTAAAGATGTATATCTTGTATTTTTGGATCATGTGATAGATCATGGATATATTGTAATAAATAAAGTATTTTTTGGAACAAGCATTGGGAGTATGTCATTTGGGAGGCTGCTGTAAATGCCCGTGTTGCTCCAGAGATGAGCAGCGGTGTGTCCCATGTTGAGGTTTGAGGGGGATGTCCAGGGTGCTGGGGGCTTGCTGCTGTCGGTGCCGGGGTCACTTTGGAGGTGAGATAGTTCTTCAGACCGTTCATTGAGAAGTGTTAACTGTCGGCATCTGGAAACCCAGCCTGAGTCACTGTGATGGAGAGTCACAGCCTCTGACAAGTGTCCAGGTCCTTGGGGGCGTGGGACGAGGTTCCAGAGGAGCCCTGGTGCTGCCCCCAGCACACACACAAGATATTTCTCCTGGCCCCGAGGGACCACAGCTGGTGTGCCTGTGCTGGGGCATGGGGGTGGGGAGGAGGAAAGGCCCAGCTCTACTGTATGTGTGTGTAATGTTTACTGTCCAGGATGCAAATCGCCCCTGGTCCACAGTCAGGTGAGGGCTTATGAGAATCAGGCAATAAATAGCATGTGCCTCGGTGGGTGCACAGACCTCCTCGTGGTTGCATTTTCAGTTCTGCAACATATAACTGAAATGGACACACGTAACAACTGGCAGAATTCCCACAAGACTCTGACCTGACGGGCAAGGCCATCTTGGTAAGAAGGGCCGTTTGGAAGTCTCTGGAACTTCCCTCCCAACCAAGATGATAACCCAAAGCAAAGTCCATCCTAGACTTGGAAGATGTGGGCGTGGTGTCCCTCATCCTCCTCTAATTTACCTGTGAAGAAGGTGAGTAGATCATAGAGAATATGGCTTATTGAAAACATAATCAAGTGATGACTCCAGTTGGTATCATTACTAGAGCAAGTCAGCACGCTCCTGGCATATAGTATGCAGCTATGATCTGGTAAATTTTTTTTTCCCTCTATACCAATTTGCAGGGGCCAACAGAATCAGTTTGCTTTTACTTGGCAAAGCCAGAACTACACCCTCACAGCCTTGCCTCAGGGTTACGGTAACTCTCCTGCTGTTTGCCATAATCTAGTTTAGAGAGCTTCATTATCTTAACATCTGTGTTGGCTTCCTAGGGCTGCCAGGACAAAATACCACAAAGCAGGTGGCTTTATAGAACAGAAATTTATTGTCTCACAGTTCCTGGAGAGTTCTCGGAGTCTGAGATCAGGGTGTCAGCCCTGTTGATTCCTCCTGAGGCTCTGAAGGGGAATCTGTTCCTGCCTCCTTTCCAGCTTGTGGTGGCTCCAGGAGTTCCTTGTCTTGGAGCTGCAGCATTACAGGTCGTCCCTCCTCTGTCTGTCTGTCTGTGTCTCCGCTTTTAAAAGCACACCACTTGCATGCCACAACATAGAACAAGTCAGTCACAAAAGGAGAAATAACGTATGATCTCACTTACATGAAATAAGCAGATGTATAAAAACCAAAGATTATTAGTGGTTACCAGGGGTGGGAGTCCTGGTGGCGCAGTGGTTAAAGCACTTGACTGCTAACCAAAAGGTCAGCAGTTCAATCTACTAGCAGCTTTCAGGGAGAAAGATACGGCAATCTGCTTCTGTAAAGATTACAGCTTTGGAAACCCTATGGGGCAGTTCTACCATGTGCTATACGGTTGCTATGAGTCGGAATCGGCTCCATAGCGATGGTTTTTTTTTTTTTGTTTGTTTTTTTGTTTTTTTTTAGGAGTGAAAGATAGGTGGAAAGGAGTTTTTGCTTAGAGGGCAGTAAGTGTATGTTAATGGTGATGGAATAATTTGGAAAAGGATAGAAAGGATGGTTTCACAATTTGAAGAATGTAATCAATATGACTGAAGTACACATGTAGAAATTGTTCAATTGGCGTATGCTTTGTTGTGTACATATATATATATATATAGGCTTTTAACAAAGAGAAGTTTATTTTTTCACAATCCAGTAGGCTAGAACTCCAAATTCAAGGCGTCAGCTCCAGGGGAAGGCTTTCTCTCTCTGTCGGCTCTGGAGGAAGGTCCTTGTCATCATCAGTCTTCCCCCGGACTAGAAGCATCTCTGTGCAGGAACCTCGGGTCCAGAGGACGTGGTCTGCTCCTGGTGCTTCTTTCTGGGTGGTGTGAGGTCCCCAATTCTCTGCTTGCTTATCTTTCCTTTCATCTCTTGTAAGGTAAAAGGTGGTGCAGGCCACACCCTGGGGAAACTCCCTTTACATTGGATCAGGGATGTGACCTGGATAAGGCTGGTGTTACAATGCCACCCTAATCCTCTTTAATTAAAATTACAATCACAAAATGGAGGACAACCACATAATTCTGGGAATCATGGCCCGGCCAAATTGATACACACATTTTTGGGGGGACATAATTCAAACTATGACATTCCACCCTTTGGCCCCTGGAAAATCACGTCCTTGCAACACGGAAAACATATTCACCCCATCATATCATAGCAAAAGTCTTAACTCCAAGTCCAACATCCAAAAATTTCTCTTCATCTGTGAAATCTAGAATATAAGTTATCTGCTTCCGAAGGTACAATGGCAGAACAGGCACAAGCTAGACATTTCCATTACAACTGGGAGAAACTAGAGAAAAAGAAGGGATAACAGGCACCAAGCAAGTCAGCAGAACACCTTACATTAGCCCTCAAGGCTGTGAAGATAATCCTCTGTTCTCTGAGACAGTTTACACAATGGCCCTGCCCTCCAGACTCTAGGTATTGGCCACAGTCTCTGGATTTCGAGTGGAGGCCCCTCGGCCCCGGGCTTCAGCTTCCGCCTTCCAGGCCCACTGGGACAGCAACTCTGCACCCTGGGCTTTAGGCGCACCATTCTCCTCGTCCATCGGAGTGACAGCTCCACCCTTAGAAACACCAGAGGCCATGGCTCCACCCTTTGAAACCCCTGAGGTCATGGCCATACCTTTTGAGACTGAGGCAGCTCAGCTTCTTGTGTCCCTTGTCTCTTCAGCTTGTTTTCTGGTTTCTTGGCTTCTCGGCTCCTCGGGCCTCATGCCCGCATCTGCCCCACTGGGGCAAGTGTTCCAAAGCTCTGTAGCTCCACTGGTAAGTGCCCGGAGGCACCCCACTCCGCCAGGAAGCCTCCTGCGCACTGGCACTCAGCTCTCTCACTCCATGGGTCGGCTCTCGCGCCATCTCGCACTGGTCTCCTGGTTCTGCTGCTGTTTTTCTCTGCCACTGCCGCTCCTCTGCCACTGCAGTTTCTCTGCTGCTGCTGATCCTGTATCCATTCACAGTTTCAAAACCGCTTCCACATTTTAGGGATCTGTTAGAGCAGCCTCCCACTCTCTCGGTACCAAATTCTGTCTCAGTCATCTAGTGCTGCTGCAACAGAAATACCACAAGTGGATGGCTTTTAACAAAGAGAAGTTTATTGTCTCACAGTCCAGTAGGCTACAAGTCCAAATTCAGGGCGTCAGCTCCAGGGCAAGTCTTTCTCTGTTGGCTCTGGAGGAAGATCCTCGTCATCATCAGTCTTCCCCCGGACTAGGAGCATCTCTGTGCAGGAACCTCGGGTCCAGAGGACGCACTGTGTGCCCGGTGCTTATTTCTTGGTAGTATGAGGTCCCCTGTTGTGTGTATTTTCATTCATGAGATTGGGACCCACCCTACTGCAGTATGACCTCATGGTAACTGATACCATCTTCAAAGACCCTAGTTCCAAACAAAGTCATATTCACAGGTATCGGGGGTCAGGGCTTCAGCATACCTTTTTTGGGGACACAGTTCAACCCATAACATCCCACAGAATAGAGCTCCTATCTACTTTGCTCATGTTACAGTGGGATTGGACGAGCAGGAACAAGCCCTTGAGACGCCTTAGTAAGCTACATGGGAACCAGCAGGTGGAAGATAAACCCCATTCCTCATACCAGGTACCCTGTCAGTGAGGAGATGAGGAACTACATTAGTTATTTTAACAATTTAATTTAGGGTATTGGAGGGCTGAAGAAGCAAACAGGGAACACCCAGGTAATGATTGCAGGAAGCGGAGACCACATTGAGGCTGGGGGACAAAGGAGGGAGGCTGGAGGAGGAGGGCCTGTGAGCTGGGACTTGGCACTGAGGAGGGACGGCAGTGAGGGAGCTGAAGGTCAGCCTCAGAGGAGGGGGTGTTCCTGGGGCAGCCATGTAGCAGGGGCTCGGGGGAGGGGGAGCTCCATGGCGCGAGGACTCAGACGTCTGAGGAGAGGGCACTCATGTGGCCACTACAGCTGCTACCGGAGCTCCGAGGACGGAGCTGGGGGGTCAGGTGTCCAGGCTCCCGAGGGGGTGTGATGGTGCTGGTTATGGCATGTAGACTGGGCTGAGCACCAGAACCGTTGGTGCTGGGTGCAGGAGCCCCTCGGAGGCAGGATCCCCGAGCAGGAGGAGCGGGAGGGGCACACGGAGCGGCCCAGGGGAAGGCAGTGGTCCCTTGCCATCGCAGGCCAGTCTGTACAGAGGCGAGAGCGCGGCCCGGCCCACCCAGGGACGTCCGGGGGTGTCGGAGTGGGGGCGGTCTGAGGCGACCCTGGGGCCCTGGGCTGGAGGTGAATCCTCCAAGTGCAAGCCGGATCCCGGCCCGCAAGGACGTGCCACTGCAGGAGGTGTCGCAGGGGTGCCCACCTGCCCACAGGTCCGCCTGCCCACTGATCCGCCCTTAGGGCCAGAGTCCGTGGGGTCGCGCTGGGTGGCTACAGGACCGGGCCAGAGAGGTTCCTCCGCAGCCGATCGGGTGCACACGGGGTCGGTGGAAAAAGGGGTCTGGGTCAACGCCGTGGTGTCCAGGAGGGACAGAGCCCAGCGCAGGCTCAGCAGAGGGTGGAGCTGGATGCAAGCCCGGGCGGGGCGGGGCGGGGCGGGGCCAGGGGGC